TACACACTTACGCAGTACTTACTGTCTACCAGGCACATCCTATGCACTGTTATACTAACTCAGATTTTAACTCCACTTACATATATTAACTCTACGACATAGGTACTATCATTATTCCCATTTAGGTGCAGTAACTTACAAAGGTCATATAGTTACTTCAGAGTAGAGATGGAATTTGAACCCAGATAGCCTAGCTCTGATGTCTGTATTCTTAACCACTGCACCGTACTGCCATTTATTAAGCTCAACCTCCACGCAAAGACGTAACTTCCCTGACAAACAGCTGAGCCAGGGATAACACAGCCAGCAAAGAACACTCAAAATCAAGGTCAAATGTTGGGTTCAAGAGAGACAGAAAACTTCAAGGGCCATGCAGGCATTCTGATTACCAAGCAGATAGGCACTGTTCAGGGCAGAGGGCCTAAAAGCAACAGCCCGGCAGATATCAACCCCTAAGCTCAGAGCCTAATAGTGATGCTTTACATAAACACATAAGCAGAGACAAACAAAGTTTCACGATAAATGCCCTTAAGCAAGCAGCAACACCTAAGATGATTCACACTGGATTGGAACACAGGTGATTCACATGACCACTCCGGTTAAGAAGCAGCAATTTCTGAGCAGGAAAGTGGAGACTGACGTCTGAATCTGCTGAACATACTTTAATGTTGACTTTATATAGAGTATGCATTAAAAACTATAAATAGCACCAGGTGTGGTGGCTCACGTATGTAATCCCAGCACTTTGGGAGGCCAAGGTGGGTGGATCACGAGGTCAGGAGATCAAGACCCTCCTGGCTAACATGGTGAAATCTCGTCTCTACTAAAAATACAAAAAAACTACCCGGGCGTGGTGGTGTCTGCCTGTAGTCCCAGCTAGTTGGGAGGCTGAGGCAGGAGAATCACTTGAACCCAGGAGGTGGAGGTTGCAGTAAGCTGAGATTGTGAAACTGCACTCCAGCCTGGACAACAGAGCGAGACTCCATCTCAAAAAAAAAAAACCAAAAACACAAAACTATAAATAGCAAGGCATAGGTTTAATCATTCCCAACCTGTTAATGTCTCAAGGAGTGAATGTGCGTATATACATACACATTGTACTAACAGAGCATCTGGCACATTTAATGAACGGGATACATTCATTTATTCAGTTAATACATGTTACTTGGTACCTACTGATACAGTTTGACTGTGTACCCACCCAAATCTCATCTTAAATTGTAGTTCCCATAATCTCCATGTGTTGTGGGAGGGACTCAGTGGGAGGTAATTGAATTATGGGGGCAGTTACCCCCATGCTGCTGCTCTCGTGGCAGAGAGTTCTCACAAGAGCTGATGGTTTTATAAGGGGCTTCCCCCTTCACTTCGCACTCATTCATTCTCTCTCCTGCCGCCCTGTGAAGAGGTGGCTTCTGCCATGATTGTAAGTTTCCTGAGGCCTCCCCAGCCATGTGGAACTGTGAGTCAATTAAACCTGTTTTCCTTTATAAATTACCCACTCTCAGGTAGTTATTTATAGCAGTGTGAGAATGGACTAGTAAAGCAAATTGGTACCCCAGAGAGTGGGATGCTTATGTCAAGATACCCAAAAATGTGTAACTGACTTTGAAACTGGGTGACAGGTAGAGGCTGGAACAGTTTGGAGGGCTTAGAAGAAGACAGGAAAATATGGGAAAGTTTGGAACTTTCTAGAGGCTTGAAGGGCTCAGAAGACAGGAAGACATGGGAAAGTTTGAAACTTCCTAGAGACTTGTTGAATGGTTTTGACCAAAATTCTGATAGTGATATGGATAATGAAGTCCAGGTTGAGGTGGTCTCAGATGGAGATGAAAAACTTGTTGGGAACTGGAGTAAAGGTAGCTCTTGCTATGCAAAGAGACTGGCAGCATTTTGCCCCTGCCCTAGAGATCTGTGGAACTTTGAACTTGAGAGAGATGATTTAGGGTATCTGGCAGAAGAAATTTCTAAGCAGCAAAACATTCAAGAGGAAGCAGAGCATAAAAGTTTGAAAAACTTGCAGCCTGACAATGTGATAGAAAAGAAAAATCCATTTGCTGGGGAGAAATTCAAGCCCACTGCAGAAATTTACAGAAGTAACAAGGAGCCAAATGTTTATCACCAAGACAATGGGGAAAATGTCTCTAGGGCATGTCACAGACCTTGCGGGCAGCCCCTCCAATCACATGCCAGGAGGCCTAGGAGGCAAGAATAGTTTCATGAGCTGGGTCCAGGGCCCCCCCTCCTGTGTGCAGTCTCAAGACTTGGTGCCTATGTCCCAGCCACTTCAGCTTGGCTAAAAGAGATCAAGGTACAGCTGAGGCTGTTGCTTCAGAGGGTGCAAGCCCCAAGCCTTGGCAGCTTCCACATGGTGCTGGCCCTGCAGATGCATAGAAGTCAAGTAGTCAGGTTTGGGAACCTCTGCCTAGATTTCAGAGGATGTATGGAAACACTTGAGTGTCCAGGCAGAAGTTTGCTGCAGGGGTGGGGCCCTCATGAAGAACCTCTGCTAGGGCAGTGGGGAAGGGAAATGTGGGGTTGGAGCCCCCACACAGAGTCCCTACTGGGGCACTGCCTAGTGGAGCTGTGAGAAGAGGGCCACTGTACTCCAGACCCCGGAATCGTAGATCCACTGACAGCTCACACTGTGAGCCTGGAAAAGACACGCAATGCCAACCTCTGAAGGCAGCTGGGAGTGGGAGCTGTACCCTGCAAAGCTATACGGATGGAACTATCCAAGGTCGGGGGAGCCCACCTCTTGTGTCAGCATTACGTGGATGTGAGACATGGAGTCAAAGGAGATTATTTCAGAGCTTTAGGATTTAATTACTGCCTCATTGGATCAGTTACCTGGATGTGAGACATAGAGTCAAAGGGGATTATTTCAGAGCTTTAAGATTTAATTACTGCCTCACTAGATTTCAGATTTGCATGGGGCCTGTAGCCCCTTTGATTTGGCCAATTTCTCCCATTTGGAATGCATGTCTTTACCCAATGCCTATACCTCCATTGGATCTAGGAAGTAACTAACTTGCTTTTGATTTTACAGGCTTCTAAGAGGAAGGCATTTGACTTGTCTCAGGTGAGACTTTGGACTTGGACTTTTGGGTTAATGCTGGAATAAGACTTCGGGGAACTGTTAGGAAGGCATGATTGTGTTTTGAAATGTGAGATTTGGGAGGGGTCAGGGGTGGAATGATATGGTTTGGCTGTGTACCCACCCAAATTTCATCTTGAATTGTAGTTCCCATAATCCCCATGTGTGATGGGAGGGATCCAGAGGGAGGTAATTTGAATCCTGGGGGCGGTTACCCCCATGTTGGTGTTCTCATGGCAGTGAGTGAGTTCTCACAAGAGCTGATCATTTTATAAGGGGCTTTCCCCTTCGCTTGGCACTCATTCATTCTCTCTCCTGCCACCCTGTGAAGAGGTGCCTTCCGCTATGATTGTAAGTTTTGTGAGGCCTCCCCAGCCGTGTGGAACTGTGAGTCAATTAAACCTCTTCCCTTTATTAATTACCCAGTCTCAGGCAGTTCTTCAGGCAGTATGAGAACAGACTAATACACCTACTACGTGGTCACCTTTGGAGGCATGCACATGCAACCCTGTTCTCCATCCCCAAAGGCCATGCACGCGTCCACTGTCAGACATTTCTAGTTCCCATCCATGCATTCCTCTGCTCTGGATGCAATGCTTCCATCTCCATGTTTGGGCTCACCCCCTGATCTGCAATTTCTTTTTTTTTGAGACAGAGTCTCGCTGTCTACCGGGCTGGAGTGCAGTGGCGCAATCTCGGCTTACTGCAAGCTCTGCCTCCCAGGTTCACACCATTCTCCTGCCTCAGCCTCCCCAGTAGCTGGGACTACAAGCGCCCGCCACCACGCCTGGCTAATTTTTTGTATTTTTAGTAGAGATGGGGTTTCACCATGTTAGCCAGGATGGTCTCGATCTCCTGACCTCATGATCTGCCCACTTCGGCCTCCCAAAATGCTGGGATTACAGGCGTGAGCCACCGCACCCGGCCTGAACTGCAATTTCTATGTCTCCAGCTAGACTGATAACATTTATCACCTCTGAGTACCTAACAGCTGGGATAGAGACTTATTCTCCAAATGCAGCTCCACATAAGCAGGATCCTATTCCCTACTATACCCGTGCATCTCAGCTATGCCTGGCACCGAATCAGTGCTCAGTAAACTACCTGGTGAATGACTGCTACAGTGATCTTGACATAGGTGTCAGGTCTGGGCCACTGGGGAACTTACCAGCTAGGGGGCACTGCCTGAGAAGAGGCTGGCAGTGGTCATTTCTGCCCACCTTTGGTGTTCAAAAGACAGGCTCTGGAGCCAGACTGCCAGTATCTGGAAGAGCTGAGATGCACACTCAGGCACTCTGATCCCAAGGGTCTGGGATAAGGACTGTGGACATGTATCCTCTTTTATCCTCAAAATAAGCTCATTTTATGGAAGGAGGGTGGCTGAGGCTGACAGGTTAATCTGGCAAGTACCACCAGATGTATTTCAGATTTTAAAAGTTTTCCATTTTTAGGACGGTAATATGGTGAATATACCATATTTTATATAACACTTCCAGCAGGCTCTGAACTATACTCCATATCAAACACATTCAGATGCTTGCAGCAAATCATATGAACAAACACACTTAGTATAATTACAGCCTCGCTTTCCTGCATATTAGGCTTTGCTACCAAAAGAATTGCAAAATATTTTCTAGTTTCCAGAGTGTGTTGGATTTGGGATTTGCAGGCAAGAGACTGTGGACCTGTAAATATAAAGCCGTTAGAAGAGAAAGTGGCACTGAGTAGGTGCTGTGGGCCTAGCATGCAGCAGCCACTTGGTACATGTTAGTTTCCTTCTCTCCAGCCAGGCTCTGATAGCACTTGAGCCTCTCATAGCTCTCCCCTTCTCTTTTCCCAAGAGATGAGATAATCCCCACTCCTCTCTTGCCCCAGAAGGCAGTAGAACTTGCAAATTCCTGCTTACCAGTCTGTATGGGCATCATCGATCACCAACAGGATCCTGGGTCTTTGAACAATGGGCGTGGAGGGACCTGGAGGCTCCATCAGTCCTGAGGTGGCCTGAGGGGCCTGCTTCATGGCACTGGAGAGGGAGCTAAAAAGGCTGGATCCTGGAGAGGAGAAGGAGGCAGCCAGGGGCTGGGGGTGCCTCCTCTCCATGGCCGGGGAAGCAGGTGAGCTGGTGGAGCTATCTGGGCGTTGCAGGTCTGTCATATAGCCATTAGGCAGGTTGGCCACGAAGCTGCTGTCAGAGAGACGTCGCCGGAGGAAATTCATGGCTGTGGATGGATGGAGATGACTGGCTCCTACCCGGACGTGTGTAGGTGAGGCCCAGAAGACAGGCTGCTGCCAGGTACAGGGAGTGGTAGGACTTCAGCCAGAAGAGCCAGGGGGATTTTGCACAACCAGCAGTCAGCTTTAGCTGCCTTTGTTTACCTGTTGGAAATAAGCCAACAAATACGTAAGTGGAAATGACCTCCACCCCCTTAAAAGCAAACAGATACAGCACTTTCCTGCCCCACTGCAGGTGGCAATGTAAATTAGGACATCCTTCTGGAAAGGAATTTGGCTACATGTATTAAGAGGATAGCTTTTTAGCCTACAGTTTCCATTTTCTGGAATTATATTGCAAAGAAAGATTCTAAGTTACAGAAAAAGCTTCATGCACAAATATGTTAATCACAGGTTATTTACACTAGCAAAATACTGGGAAGTATCTCAACATTCAACCACGGTTTAACGAATAAGTCAACTACAGCACAGTTACTCAATGAACCTTTTGTGGCTATTTTTAAAGGTGTCTTGAAAAAGGGATTTTGGTAACAGAAACAATTTCGTGTTCTAATGATGTTTAAAAGATAATGATTCAAAATTATAGGAACCAAATGACTACAAAGATGTACAAGTTGAAAGAACAAAACTTTGGAAATAAAAGAAATCAAAGTGTTAACAGTGATTATATTTTGGTAACGCAAGTACATGCCTTTTTTTCTTTTTCTTTCCACTTATTTATATTTTTCAAATTTTTTAGAATGCTTATTACTATGGACTGGCCTGCCCCCTACCTCACCAAACTTACATGTTGAAGATAATGCTGAATATGATGCTTTGGAATTGAGCCCTTTGGGAGGTAATTATGGTTAGTGGGGTCATTAGGGTGTGCCCCACGCGAAGGAAGTACAGCCCTTATAAGAAAGGATGCCAGAGAGCTTGCTTTCCCCGCACTATGTGAAAGTGAAGGTAAAAGGCAGCCATCTGCAAACCAGGAGAGGGCCCTCACCAGAACCAGGCAGAGCTGACACCCTGACCTTGGACTTCCCAGCCTCCAGAACTGTGAGAAATAAGTATCTGTTGTTTAACCCACCCAGCCTATGGTATTTTGTTATGTCAGCACAAGCAGATAATACACACATCCATTGCATTTCTAAACAGAGTAACATAAGTGAAAAACAACCCACACTGCTCATTTGAGATCAAAACATCCCACTGAGAACAATGAGTATTTAAACCGTTAGACTTTACATTTTTTGTTAAGATTATTACATACATTTTTTTTTTTTTTTTTTTTTTGAAACAGGGTCTCACTTTGTCACCCATGCTGGAGTGCAGCAGCACGATCTTGGTTCACTGCAACCTCTACCTCCCAGATTCGAGAGATTCTCCTGCCTCAGCCTCCCAAGTAGCTGGGATTACACGCACCTACCACCACACCCAGCTAATTATTGTATTTTTAGTAGAGATGAGGTTTCATTATGTTGGCCAGCCTGGTCTCAAACTCCTGGCCTCAAGTGATCTGCGTGCTTTGGCCTCCCAAAGTGCTGGGATCACAGGCGTGAGTCACTGTGCCCAGCCAGTATTTTTATTGTACTAAAATTTACTTAAGATTGAAATGCACAGTTCTTAGATATATACTTCTTTGAGTTTTGATAAATGTATATACTAGTATAATGTTTATTATATTTCTATTACCTCAGAAAGTTATTTTGTGCCCCTTGTGGTCCATCCACACCCCCTAACAGGCAAACTCTTCTGATGCATGTCACCATTTATTAATTTTACCTGTTCTTGAGCTTCATATAAATGTAATCAAATATATTATGCTTTTGTTAATAACTGCTTCCCTCAATGGTTCTTAGATGCAATATGTTGTATAGCAGTCATTCTAGTTTTAAAATCACTGAATATCATTTTAATGGATGGATAAACCACAAATTGCTACTCTGTTCTCCTGTTGATGAAAATTTGAGGTCAGGCATGGTGGCTCACACCTGTAATTCCAGAACTTTGGGAAGCTTCAGCAGATCACTTAAAGCCAGGAGTTTGAGACCAGCCTGGCCAACATGGTGAAACCCCCTCTCTACTAAAAATAAAAATAATTAAAAAAAAAAAAAAGCTGGGTGTGGTGGTGTGCACCTGTACGCCCAGCTACTTGGGAGGCTGAGGCATGAGACTCGCTTGTACCCAGGAGGTGGAGGTTGCAGTGAGCCAAAATTACGCCACTGCACTCCAGCCTGGGTGACAGAGTGAGACTTTATCTCAAAAAAAAAAAAAAAAAGAGTAAAGAAAGAGAAAAAAAAAAGAAAAAGAAAGAAAAAAGAAAATAAAAAGAAAATTTGAAATGTTTCCAGTTTTCAGGAATTATGAATAAATTGCTGCAAGAAATTTTTATTTAAGTCTTTTTGTGGAGATAGATAGATGATGAATGGATGGATGGATAGATAGATAGATTGAGAAGTAGATCTTTTCTTTGAGAAAATACCCAGGAGTTCATTTGTTGGGTCATGGGGTAAGTGTATGTCTAACTTAATAAGAAACTGTCAAAAAGTTTCCCATAGTGGTTGTTTGATTTTGCACACTCCATTTGAGAATTCCCATTCCTCCACATCCTTTCTCACATTTGGTTGTTGTCTTTTTCATCTTACCCGTTCTAGTGGGTGTAGCACAGTACCTTATTGTGTTTTAAATTTATTTTGTCTGATATTTAATGAGACTGAACAAGTTTCACGGGTTTACTGGCCAGTAACATATCTTCTTTTGTGGAGTATCTATTCAAATCTTTGACCCATTTCTAAAAGGCAGGTTGTTTATCTTTTTATTTTTGATTTGTAGGAGTTCTTTATATATTCTAGATACAAGTCCCTTGTCAGACACGTACATCCTAAACATTTTCTACCATTCTGTGGCTTGCTACTTCATTCCTTCATGAGCAGAAGTATGGCAGAATAAAACAACTCTTAAAAAAGTGAATTGTTTGAGATAAAAGCATCCCAATAAGAAAAAAAATTATACCATAGGATGAGATCATACTTCCACATTTTGGTATTGGGAATACTTTACATATTCTTTCATATATATGTATCTAAACACACACATACATATATATATAATATAAATATATATATATAGTCTATTATACATATCTGCAGATGTTTTGATAAACAGAAATTTTTATTTTTATTATTTTTACTTTTATTTTTTTGTTTGAGACACAGTTTTGCTCTTGTTGCCCAGGCTGGAGTACAATGGCATGATCTCAGCTCACCACAAACTCTGCCTCCTGGGTTCAAGCGATTCTCCTGCCTCAGCCTCCCGAGTAGCTGGCATTACAGGCATGCACCACCAGACCTGGCCACTTTTGTATTTTTAGTAGAGATGGGGTTTCTCCATGTTGGTTGGGCTGGTTGCGAACTCCCAACCTCAGTTGATCCGCCCACCTCGGCCTCCCAAAGTGCTGGGATTACAGGCATGAGTCACTGTGCCTGGTCAGAAACTTTTATTTTTATGAAACCTAATTTATCAAATTTTTCATTTATTGTGTTCCTGTATCTGTTCTTAAAAATCTCTGCAGTCCGGGTGTGGGGGCTCTATTAAAAATACAAAATTAGCCAGGCGTGGTGGCGCATGCCTGTAATCCCAGCTACTCGGGAGGCTGAGACAGGAGAATCGCTTGAACCCAGGAGGCGGAGTTGCAGCGAGCCAGGGTCATGCCATTGCACTCCAGCCTAGACAACATGAGCGAAACTCCATCTCAAAAAATGATAGAAAAAAAAAATCTGCCTACCCCAAGATCACAGTCATACCGTCCTGTAACGTCTTATAGAAGCTTTATAGTTCTACCTTTTCTATTGAGGTCAGGGATCCATCTAAACTTGATTTTTGAGTGACATGAAGTAGAGTATGAAGTGCCTTTTCACCCCCGTTCATTCATCCAGGTTGCCAGCACCATTTATGAAAGTATTTTTCTCCCACTGAATTGCTTTGGTGGCCTTGTTGGCACCAATTGGCTGTACGTGTGTGGGTCTACTTCTGGACTGTTTAATATACTCCACTGATCTGTCTATTCTTACATTTATTGATTGTTATGGCTTTTCAGAAAGTTTTAAAATCAGGTAAAGTGAGTCCTCCCACCTAAATTTTCTGTCTCAAGATTGTCTTAAGTATCTTAGGTCTTATTTTCATATGCATTTTAAAATCAACTTTTAAGAAAAAGTCTGTTGGAATATTGTTCAAGATTGAATAGACTGAGCAGAATTGTCACTGAACAATATTGGTTTTTCTGCTTTATGAACACAGTAGACCACTCTATTCAGAAAGTTTTTTGTGATTTTCAATATAGAGATCTCGCATACATTTTGCTAAATTTATTCCTATTTTGTTTGGGGGGTTTTTGCATGTTTTTAAAATGACACTGTTTTCTAAGTTTCACTTTCCATTTGTTTGCTGCCAGTATAATATTATTTTCAATATATTGACATGCTAAATTCAAGTATTGTTGCTACTAGTTGTTTATAGATTCCTTAATACTTTCTACTTAAATAATCACGTAATCTACAAAGCGAGATATCTTTACTTCTTTCTTTCCGATCTAAATGACTTTTACTAATTTTCCTTATCTGATTGTCCTAGCTAGGGCCTCCAATATTGAACAGAAATCATGAAAACACACACACCTAATCATGAAACACACACACATGAAATCATGAAAACACACACACCTAAGATTTGTTCCTAATCTTAGGGGGAAAACATTCAGTATCTCACCATTAATGTGGTGTTAACTGTAGGTTTTTTGGTAAATTACTAGATTCAGGCAGTTCCCTTTATTATTATTTGGATGAGAGTCCTTATCATGAATGGGAGTTGAATTTGCCAAGCGATTTACTAAATGTAGAGGATTATGTGTTTTTGAAACCATTTATTTGCTTAACAATGTGGTAAATTACATTGATTGATTTTTAAATGTTAAACCAAACTTGCATTCCTGGGATAAATCCCACTTGATCATAGTGTATTACCCTTTTTATATATTGGTGGATTTAATCTGTTAACATTTTGCTATTTTTGTGTCTATGTTCATGACAAAAACATTGGTCTGTAGTTTTATTTTTTTGGCAATGTCTTTGCTAGGTTTTGGTATCAGTGTAATGTTAACCTCA